CTAAACCCTAAACCCCCTTAACCCCCACATAAAGCTCCTACTCTCTTGGACTCGCTCTGAGGCTGCGGCAGTGGCTCCCAGGCGGCGGCTCACCGGGCTGCCGGTTCTGGAGCCGGGGAGCCACAGAGAGTTTCGGGGTTTTGCAGGTGTTGGGTTTAGGGATTCAGGGTTGTTAGGGGCTTTAGGGGATGTAGGGCTTAGGGATTTAGGGTTTTAGGGGATTTAGGGGAGTTAGGGTTTAGGCTCAGGGTTTGCAGGGCTTACAGGTTAAGGGTTTAGGGTTGAGGAAAGACCGGAATCACAGCACCTGCTCCCAGGTACCAGATCTTCTCCGACAACGGACAGGGCGTTGGGGGCAGTCTCACGAACTCCATCTATGCCTGCGGCCTGTTTTTGGCTGACGAAAGGGGCCCCCTTGGCTCGGAGTTTCTTGCAGATCAGGTCGGCTCGGCAACCTCCTTTCGGGCGGACACCCTGAACAGAGGCGTCACCTACCGCTTCCAGGCCTTCTGCTGCCAAGATCCTTTTTGTTTCTTTCGTGTGGCTCTGGCTCTGGCTCTGCCCCCTGGACCCTAGATCCGCGCCCGCAATGCCAACGGCGGCAGCCCAAGGGAGAGAGTGCACGGCCACTGCCTTCCACTCTCTGAAGTCCCCAGCAGGCTGGGGACCTCTCAGCGGGATCATGTCCTTTGCAGCCTCCGAGGCAGGCGCTTTCAGTCGCTTTTTTAGCCGCCCGCCAGCGATGCTCCGAGCTCTCAGGCCCCTGGCGTGCCAAGGAACCTGAGGCCGGCGCCCTGTTGGCCTGGCCCGAGCCATATGGCAGGCGTGTGCACCGGCGGCATGCACTGTTGCAGGTACCTGTCCTCGACGACGACCTCTGTGAAGGCCTGGGTGTCCACCCCAGTCCGGGCTTCATCCGTTTTGTGCTTGAGCTGGTCAGGTGGTCTGGGATGTCCCAACTGCCGTGCACAACGACGAGTCGCCCATCACTCGCTATGAGGCTTGCGACCGGTATACCGGTACACCGCAACAGCATCAAGGCTTGAAGAAACACCCCTACCGTGGAGACAGAGTCGCAGGTGCTGTGGAACGACCAGACCACCATGTCAGCCACACAGATGCTCACAACGTCGCCGGGCTTCAAGGAGGCCCAGCCCTTGTAGCGGTGATGGCGTGGGCCGAAAGCGCCTATCATCCCTTGGAGAGGTGAGCCCTCCTGGTCCGCTCACGACCGGGAACACCATCCGCTTCGAGGCGCCTTCGCAGACCCCGCCTTCCGGAAGAAAAAGAAGATCTTGAGGAACCAAAACAAACAGAGAGCTTATGCGACCAGAGAGCAGCAAGAAGAGGAGGCAGACAAACAGACAGAGGAAAAGCCCTGGGAGGTGCGCGCCTGCAACATCAACGAATGCGGCGCCTACTCCACGAGGCCTCAGAAGGAGCTAACTTTGAAGAAAGACCGGCGGATTTTGAAGCAGCGATTCCACGGCTCAGCCGAGTGGTTTTTCACACCCCTACTCAGCCTTCTGCCTCCGTTTTCAGGCTGGATCTGGTAATCGGAGGCCTGCCAGAGGTTCGCCCGGCGGTCCTTGAAGAGCCCCTGTCCACTTTGGAGAGCTGTTGGCTGTTGGTGCAACATTTGATATAGCATATACGGCATATACCTACCTATTTATCCATCCATCCAGCCATCCATCCATCCATTTATCTGTCTATCTATCTATCTATCTATCTATCAGAACCTATCATTATCTATCATTATCTATCATTATCTATCCTATGCTGCCTGAGTCACGGCCAGGCCCCCTCGGCGCCCTTCATGGTCTCCTCCACCGGAACGGAGCTGACCTTGGGCTGGGACTACGTGGGCAAGGACCGATCACTTCAGCTTTTCGAGGGCCAGGGGCAGGGGACGGCAACACAGCTGTAACTGGAAGCCTTTGCTTGTGGCGGCAGGACAACGGCGGCGTGCCCCTGACACAGCCAGCGGCTTAGAGAGGGCTGGCGGAAACGGTATAGGACTCCAAAGCGAGTGGCCCTCAGGTACAACGTGAAAGTCTCCTCGGACGGTGGCAGCACTTACACGGCTGCAGGCAAAGCGTAGACTGAAGGCAGTCAAGGTGGCAAGGTCATGAAATCTATCTACGGCCCTTGCAGGCAGTACGGCAGATGCCTCGGTGTTCACGTTCACCTACACCTGCGGTGCCAGCCAGCTGTGATGCCGGCATGCTTGAGTGCATTGAGATTTTTGCAGGTCACCCCTTTACCACTCGCCTTGGGAGGTTCTTCTTCAAGGTGTCAGCTGTCAACGGTGTTGGCACTGGTGAGGGTGTCGGAGACCCGAAAAGCCCTGGTTTTTGCAGCAGGAGTGAATATCGGTTGAAACATGCGCGACAATTCGACCAAGGCCGATTCCGACCCCGTGGGTCTCTACTGCGTTCCGCCTCCCGACACGCCAACGGCGCGCTTTGGGGGGGGGGGGGGCGGCAGGTTGCGTCATGAGAGCAAATCATGATAAGTACAGGTAGCATGGTGCTGTGTATCTCTGCAGCGCTCTTTGCGGTGGCCGCGGGCGGAAGGCACCTGGCCTGACCAGCACGGCCTCCTCCTTGACGATTGCTCTGTGCCTTGGAAACAGCCTCCATAACCAGCTTTATAGAGCTTGTTTTAGGATTTTAGGATATATAGTGCTTTCGGGTGTTAAGGACACTTTTCGGGTCAGGAGTCTTGGTCCTCAGGTATCAACCAACAGCGGGACAGCTCAACAACGCGCAGCACACCGGGTGGCGCATTCTGGCCAGGGCGCTCAGCCGTCTTAAGGGGTCCATCCACTCATCAGGGGTGGTCAGCAGTGTTCTTTCCTGCTCCTGTTTCAGGTTTCGCCTTAACCCTGAAACCTGAATCCTCCGGCGACCCTATTCTGAAATCACGCGATGCTTAAACGAGAGGTGGATGATGTCAATGATGCGGACAACATCTACGACGAACTGGAGGTAGCTGACACGCCCTTTGCCCAGTCCTTCTCTGGGGCCGGGCGGTGACCGTCCTCAAGCCATCAAGCGCGGTACACTGTAATGCCACCCTAGTCACTATATATACTCATTACACTTTGCAAGGCTCCGACATCAGTTCGTAGCGAAGTACGCATATACGTAGCTTACCTTTGTGCATCAAGACAGCAATGCATCCATAAGTAGACATATGAACGAGACAGAAAGCACATACATATAATATACAGAGAGAGGGTTTTGAAATATCCGACAGGCACAGTAGTAGAAGCATCTCAGGCACAAGTAGGGCCTCTCAGGACGATTCTGTCCTACACCATCACCACCGGCATCACCACAGGGCACTACTACCGAGCGAAGCTGAAGCTCTGCTCAGTCGCCCGGACCTTAGGAACGGAAGGCTTCGTGAATTTGAGGCCAAGAAGTCACAAAAAAAGTACGCACCAGTAGATAGTCTAGATAGTTATGATGTGGTCTCATATCACCTCATACCGTATCATGTGTACATTGTCTACATATACACGTGCAAATGTGCAGACTCATGCGCGTAGCATAAACATACATGCACTGCTTTACGGTCGCCTTGCCTCAGGTGGACCTGCTTTACATAGACTTACATTTGGCATTGCATCTTGCCTTGCCTTGCCCTGCCCCGCTCCGCCGTGCGCTGCCTGGCATGGCATGGCATGACTTGATGTGGCAGGCAAGACACTCATTGCAATACATTGCATTCACTTGCCCTACAATACCTTACCTCACATTACATCACACTACGTACATTCTCGCGACTTTCATATATCCACAGCCGCGACAAGCACCTGTACATGTAGGCGTGTCTATATATCTATGTAATGTATGTATAGACAGATATGAATTTAAATGTACATACATATGCACGCAGATGCACGCAGGCGTGCCCGTATGCACATACATGTCCGATGCCGCGCGCTTCAACATCGATTATGTCTCTAAACCCCCAAACCCCAAACCCTAAACCTTAAACCCCCACTACACCTCAAAAAACAACCTTAAGCCCTATAAATCCTCAACCCCTAAACCCCTAAAACGTCTCCAGGCGCACTGCAGCGCCGAGTCGGACGTTGGCGGCCCCGTCGTTGCGGCCTCGCCGCCCGATGCTCCTGCGAGCGCCTCAGAGGGACACGTACTTGGGTTATTGCTATTATATCTATTTTGTTTATTATATTCATTATTATTTTTACTAGAATATATGAGTACAAAGAAATATGTGTATACATACATATAACTAAACATGTCTATATTAAGCTATATATATATATATATAGATAGTTATATATATATATATATAGAAAATATGTATATGAATGAGCCTCATCCCCGCCTACTGGAGGAGTGCTTCAGGTTCTCGGGGCGCTGCGCAGCTCCATTTCAGTGTAAGCTGGCGGAGCAGTTCGCTTAGATGGTGCATGATTTTCAGCGGATTTGAGAGGCAGGGAGCCGTATGCCGGAACCCTCAAAGATCACACTGCAGCCTGTAGCCATAGATATCTTGCATTCAACTCCTTCCATAAATCCTAGAGGCCCTAGAGATTCAAAACGAAGCCCTCTTTGTCATTTTCTTTGCTCTCCCAGGCACCCGTCTACGTTCTCTCGTCGGGGCCCTGACAGGATTGAAGTTTTGGGAGGCTTGTTAAGGCTTTGGAGGATTTGGGATGGTTTAGGTCTGCAGGATTTGAGGGATCTTAACATCTCGAGGAGCATAGCATTGGAAGTGAACCCTTCCTTGTCATGCTTGTGAGCCAGGTCAACAAGCAACAGCATCACCTTCACTTGGGAGTCTGCAGCTCAGCCATGTGCTGCAGTGCTGCATGTGAGGTGATGAAGTCGGCGCAGGGCTTCAGGCTAACTGCTCTCTTGGAACTGCTCCAGCCGCCTCCGGACAGTTGCGTTCTACGGCCCAAACCGCCTTGCGGACCCGCCAGCTGCCCGATGGCACGACGAGGCCGCCCCCCCAGGGCCCTTGGGCCCTAAACCCCTATAAAAAAAGGGGGCTCCTAAAAAGGAGGACTCTGCCCAGCTTCGCTGCACGTTTGAGAGGCGGCCTCTTGAGCTTGGCGCTCCTTGGAGTCGCCGGAGCCCCGAAAAATGCGCTCGTCGAAGTGTGGGTCGCTTTCGCTTCAACTTCGGAGGTGGGCTGCTTCCTGGGGTGCCTGGCGCAGAATGCCTTCCTGTCGGCAGTCGGCAGGCAGCCCGTGCCCCAGCCGCTGAAGATGGAAACACACATGGCTGAAGACGAGCGGGCTGTCTGAAAGTGGAGACCCGAGTCATCTGAAGGATGAGTAAACAAACCTGCCCAGACTGGCTACTGGTAGTCTGGAGTTGACACTGGACACAGGTCCTGAAAACCTGTATCTGCAATGTCGGGCGCCATCTCAGTAGTGCCTCTCCCAGCCCAGCGTCGCAGCCTCTGTAAACAAGGAGTTGTCGTGCATGTACCCGCCCGCCAGCAAATCCAACACACTGAATTCAGCTTCATCGCATCGCTTTTGCAAACAGGGGACATCTAAGGGCGAATAGACTCCGCATGTCGCCAGCCTCAACGCTCAATGTCGCGGTATACTGCCTGGTTTCATCTTGCTTCGACTTGCTGCATTTCGCGGCAGATCGGATCGCCAAGGCCCGAGGCTGCAATGAGCCGGCGGCAGATGCTGGCGGCATCTGGCCTCGCAGGTGCATCACTGCACATACTATACCACTGCCAGATGTCTCTTTCAGAGTCTCCAGGCGTCCCGTCTCGGATGTCCCGTAAACCCCGAGAGCAGGTCTAGGCGGCTTTGCGCAGAGCGCCTCTGCCGATGTCTTCGGCGTCGGGCGCCCAGGGCCGTCGAGCGGGGGTTCCGCAGCCAGCGGACCCGTGGAGAGTCCTGATGAAAGCCCCGGACACCCGAAACTCCAAGTGTCCGACATCCTCGGAGGACGTGGCACCGAAGAGGATGCCCTTCAGGGGCGATATGAGCACTCCGCAAGCGCAGCAGGACGCCAAAGGGAGGGGGCAGATCACTGCATCGGTCTTCACACAATGAGATTCGAAGGTTGCACAGGACTGATTCAGTGAGGTTCCAGGCTGTCAGCATTTCGGGTTTGACGCGGATTCCGGGTTCGAGTTGCAGACACTGCGAAGCATGCCTTATGACAGACCCAGCACCACGCGGTACTGTGCACACGCCCTTCAGAGACTCTGTGCGAGCTTGATACTTTTCAGGCGATGGTGGGCCGGAGACTGAGCCGCTAAGGCTTCTTGTGACCTCACACTTTGCACATGGTCGACATGTTTTCCTGGACGCAGCGATTTGAGGGAAAGCCAGAGACATCGGACCCGTCTTCAGCCAGGATGCTTGCGGCCCAAGACAGGGGTCTCCACTCGCCTTCATGAAGCTTCGTCCGAGGGCGTCTGCTATGAGATCGACAATGCTCAAGTAGGCTGATCTTTTTCGGTGCTTTTCTGGTCAGCCGTCTCTGTCCACAGCCCGTAATAAGAGGCAAGATCATGCCCACGAAGAAGGGCGTCATTGTGTCTGTGGCCCAGAAAAGCCGGCTGTCAGCAGCATCGTTTTGTACCCACTGGGCATGAAATACTCGCAGATGTCGATGATGCAAGCACCAGACACATCTATACTTAAGTATCATCTACTGCATCTACCTCTTTGTGGGTGTCAGGTACGACCCGGATGCGCCGTGCGGCGCAGGGAAGCCCGGGCCTAAACTCAATTTCAAAGGGGAGGAGGCAGAAGGCCTTTGAGAGTTAAGAAGCTTCCGGATCTCTCTATTGCCAGGGCCTTCGTCCATGCTTCTGGCAACGGTAACTTCGAGCCAATGACGGCCGGGCGCTCTTTTTGGCATTCTCTCTCTCTCTCTCCCCTTTTTGTCTGCTGCTCTCTGAGAGAAGCCTCTTATTTTTTTGCTTGGAGTCGAAGAGGCTGGGGGCGGGCCGGGCAAGCCACGGGCTCAGCTTTCCGGGCCCTGGCCCTGCTGGGGCGCCCAACAACATGCCCAAAATAGAGTATAATATAATCAAGCATAATGTAATACAATATAATACGGTATAATACAGTATAGTATATGATAAGAGGCACAAGTACTACGCCGCAATCTTCGACCCGGAGGCGGCTGCTAGCGGCGTCTGCTTCCCTCTCTCTCTCCCTCTCCCTCCCTCCCTCCCTCCCTCCCTCCCTCCACGGTTCCCTCGCTTGCAGCTGGTGACGAACTTCAAAGACAACATCGGCAAGTGTGCCAACATCCCTCAAGGCCTCGACTGGATTTTCGAGGACATGTGAGTGAACTGTACCCTGCCCTGCGCGGCTCTGGCTTTGCACCAGCTGACGGTTGCTGCTCAAAGCCAGGCGGCAACGAGACCATCAGCTTCGAGGCGCGTCCACGAATGCATCTTTTGGAAAGTCGCACATGTTCCGAAGTTGCGTTTTGGAAGGGAGGGGGGGCTTGGATGGGGGTCACGCTCGGCAGATTGCGAACCTCGAGCGCGGCGGCAAGTGTGACTGATGATGACCCGACGAGTCTTGAGGACTTTCGAAGGGCGAGCTTGCCTGTAGGAAACCCGACACGAAAACCCTCCCAAGCTGCCAAGACCTCTCTTGAACCCCAAGGAAGAAGGAGGATGAAGCCGAAAGCCTCGTCCGATTCTCTTTAGATCTTCGCACGACCGATTTTCGCGGCACAGCCTTCAAAGGGATGAGCAACAAGTCCCAGGCTCGCCGGGTCCACTGTATATATTATACATAATAATACACAAATACTTAAGTGTTTGATCATCACGATTACCAGGTGATTACCAGTAGTATTGATTTCACGATTGCTCAGAAAGCTATCAAGTCCGTGGACACGGCGCTTTCAACGACCTGGTCAGCGCCAAGTAGTCGCAGCATTCCCGCGCGGCATCCGAGATGGCCGAAAAGGCATGTCGCACAGCGCCACTGCATGGATCTTCCTTCTCCATCTCCAGATGCCCAAGGTTCCCTGGCTCCAATGGCGGAGCTGTCATCGAAGGCCAGCCATCTCTACTCTGTCGCATGCAGGAGGAGGACTGCCGTTTGATTACAGGCTGGTACATCTACGTTTCCAGCGATGGGGAAACTTGGCCCGACGTCTCGAACCCTGACGACGGGATCGCGGATGTAAACAACCGGGAGCCACGGGCTCGGAGCAGACTCCGTATGTTGCTCTATGGGTGGGTATGAATCGGCATGTCGTGTGTGTGTGTGTCTCTGTGTGTGTGTGTGTGGGTGCATATATTTGTAAATACATACGCACATACATACATACATACATACATACGTACATACATACATACATGTATATAACAACACAAAGGTCTGTCTATCGCTCTCTCTCTATATGTACATGCAGTGACATGCACATACAGATATACACACACACATGCACTCACACACTAGCACATACATCGATGTGCAAAACATACATGACATGTAGTCACATGCAAAAGCCGCTTTTCATCTACATGCACACAAATGCTTGCTGGACGCGCGCACACACACACGCACATGCACCCTTGCACACATTATATGCATGCATGCATAAAATGTACAATTAATCTAGGGCCTAATATACAATGTCCAGTGTACACTATGTAAGGCAATATACACTTGTTTAATATCTAGGGCCTAATATGCAATATCTCAATATGTAAGACAATATATACTTGTTCTACAGGATATTCTAAGGCGCCAGCAGACACTATTCGCATATGTATGTATGCTATGCATGTGCACATGGATATTAACACATGATATTATGCGGACATATCGTTTTTGGAAGATTTTCAAGTGTCCTTTGGCCGGGTGTGATCTTCGCCTGAGGTTCTACCTCGGTTGTGGAAACTGGTCGGCCAGCAACATGATGCTCTATGCTTTAGCCTTAGCTGTGTGAGGGGCCGATGGGAGATGGAATGGAGCCACTTTGTGACCTAAGGTGAGGGTAGCTGCCTACAGCCAGGCCGGAACCGGCGCCCTCTCTGCGGGGGACCTCAGCTTCTCCCGGCGGTGCCGATTCTGATTCTCGCGCTTTGGTTGCTTCCCGGCCTCCGAGGACACGCTGCAGTACCGATGCTCGCCGCCGCCGGCCACTCCGGCGGCGCCCACACTGGTGGATTCCAATGCTGACAACATCACCATCGCCTGGTCGGGCCCTTGCAGAGTGACACTCTTGAGCGAGTCTGCATTCATTGCCTGCAAGGACGGTGCCGACCAGCACGGACTTGGCCCAGTCTCTGCACCTGGGTACCAAGGCACGCCTGCAATCGCTTGGCCAGCGTTGCTTCCATCGCAGTCAGATTCAACGATTCCCGAGCGCGGACATGTTGGTATTCGCAGTGGGATTCGTTGCAATACAACTGCAAGTTGCAACTGTTGCTCTTGTACGTGTTTCGGAGGTGCAGTACGACGATGGCGCCGCCGGACCCTACACGACTGTCTCGCTCACGGACACGTTGCAGGCCAGATGACAGTACTGGAACCAAGCGGAGCAGCACACCGACCGTCGAGGTGCAGTACACGCTAACCGGGCTGTCTGCAGGCTTGACGTACAGGCCTGGGCTGACTCCTTTCCGACCATAAATTCCGAAAAATGCCCATAGCCTCGTTTTGGCCAGGTTCCGCATCCAGACGGTTTCGGAAACCGGGACCAGCGAGGCCTCCACAGCCTTGTCCCAACCTCAGAAACTGAGCTCCCCCTGCAGGGTTGCCGTTTCTGTCTAAGCTTGTGCTAGGTCCGTCGTGGCGGCCTCCGTGCCGGATGCTCCCGTGGTCTCGATCGCAAGGCGCCCAGCGAAGGGACGGAAGGCGAAGGTCCCACCGGCGTCAGAAGAAACGATTCAACTCACCTTCTCGGGCCGAGGTCTCGACGTCGGATACCACGCTGGAGTACTCCGCAGTGCTGTCGGGCTCTACAGGCGCCACGCGATGGCCTACCAGCCGTAAACAGTGTTCCTTCAAGCTTTCTGTGCTTCAAGGAGCGTGGTCTCAGGAGTTAATCTATTTTGCAGAGCCCTGATTTCTCCGTGGTAAGCAAGCTCTCTCTTTCTCTCTCTCTTTCTCTCTCTGGCTCTCTCTCTCTCTCTCTCTCTCTCCGTCCCTCTCTCTCTCTCTCTCTCTCCCTCCCTCCCTCTCCCTCTCCCTCTTGCTCTCTCGCTCTCTCTCTCTCTCTCTCTCTCTCTCTCTCTCTCCGTGTATTATATTGTTTTGCACATACATGTATAGAGAGATAGTCGAGCGTTGATTTCGGCAGCAGGTGGGTCGCCTATTACGGAATGGCGGGCCTACATCTCCATTGACGGCGTGGCGTACCCGATCAATCCCAACATCCCCACGGCCAGCTCTTCGGAAGCTTCCACTCTGACGCTTCCGCTGCCATACGTTGCCCTGGCGAGAGCCCAGGCCACCTTGGCTGCGGCCTTCACAAGCTACTCCTTCGACTGCACGAACTTTGCCGCCGCAGATTGGAGTCAGCAGTGTGTTTCTCAGGTCCGAGAGCCTCTGTAGAAGCACACAGCGAGCTCTGAGTCTCTTTTTGTTGAGAAAAGGTACATCTGGATCATCATGTCCGCCGTCAGCAACGCCGGGGAGGGCGCCTTCTCCACCCCTCTGCAGCAGCGCTGCTCTGCCGTCCCTTGCCCGCAATGAAAGGAGCGCCGTTCGTCGTTTAAACAGAGACGCGATGGCCTCAGATGGCCTCTACAGACTCTCTCTGTCAGATCCCGGGCACCCCAGCGGCTCCGGGTCTGGTCTTGGACCCAGTGGCAGAGTCTGCCAGAGTCTTCTTGGGGGGCAGACAGATAGACACCAGTGAGTTGAGCAGGTCTCCTCCACCGCGAACGCCATCACGCTCAGCTTCGACACCAACGGCCCCGACCCGAGCCAGACAAGAAAGAAGAGAGAGGCGAAAGAAAGGCGCTGTCTGCGCTTTGGCTCCTCTGTCCAAAATGGCCGAGCTGAGGACTGAGCGGGGCCTTCCTGACGGGCTTCAAGGCCCAGTGCCTCGCCCTCTCCTCCCCCTTTTCCTGAGATTCTAGTGCTAGGTCTGCTAGGTTCTGTAATAGAGTGAAGATGAGAGCCGCTGTTGTGCCGGTGCCGTGAGATCTACACGGACGATGGCAACGGTGGGCCTTGGTCCATGGACCTCGTGACGGACACCACGCAGAGGACCTTCACGAAGTGCGGGGCCCGCCCAAACGCCAGACGACACACGGCCACCCCCTGGAGAACTCTGAGTCCCAAGGTCGGGGCTCAACGCCGGGTTGAACTATCGCTTCAAGGTGGAGGCGCGCAGCTCAGAGTCACTAGAAAAATACCCTCCCGGAGAGGCAGCACCTCTTGGCAGGTCGTCTCCGAAGTCGGCACCAGTGCTTCCTCGCCTGTAGCCACCTACGTCTCGGCCGCCCCTTGACCGCGGCTTTCGGCTCTCTCGGGCTTAGGGCTTTGCGTTCCACGCTCGAACTGAGGCCGTCCCCGATGCACCGACGGTGAGTGTGGCAAGCTCCACCAACAGCGACATTGACTTGACCTGGGTGGCAGGTACAGACCTTGCAGTTCCCGTGAGTTTCGTGACTCCAGTGGTCAAGGATTTCTCTGAGGTGGTGATGGCGGTTCGGCCATCACTCGCTGGCACGTCTTCACCTCCAAGGCGTGCCTGAAATTTTGAGGAACATACTGGTCTCTCTCTTTTGCTCGCAGGACGGAGCCACTTGGTCGGCGCTCGACAGTCCACAGCGCCCCGCAAAAACCATCGCAGACCCTTGCAGATGCTCTTCCTCAACGCCTCAGTGGCCTCTGGCCTGGCTGGCCTCTGTGTCTCGAGGTACACGATCATCACCCCCACCACGACGACTCAAACCGTCGACTGCCACTGGCCTACGGCTCCCGATTTCAAGGGAGCCTGGGGTGTGCTGCACTGATCGGTTAGAGCGTCTGCTGCGTGCCGAGGCACGGATACCTTCAAATGGTCAGGCTCCGATGCCGGGCGCCCACCGTCAGGGTCGACGGAGACGGGAAGGGGCTGGACAAAAACCCATTTGAGGTGTCGCAAACCTACGTGTACTTGAGGGCCGGCTGCTTGGAAAGATCTGAAGGCGCACACCTTCTAGCTTGACTCTCTTTGGCAGGTGTCGGCTTTCAACGGAGCGGGCATCGGTACTCCATCCAACTCGTTCCGATGGCGCTGCTCCGCTAAGCCGGGAACGCCTGCAATCCCTGCCAAGGCAAAGCCGGAGGCCAGCGTGTTTGCTTGGACGAGCCTGCCTGCCAGGTGAGTGGCACCACCAACACCATGACGATCTCGTGGAGACCCTGGCTTCAAAGCCCGACTAAAGAAAGCATCGATGCCTAGCGGGCCTAGAAGGCCTAGCGCCTCGCTGCTCCAGGTTCGCCCCCAATGGCTTGAACGAAGCAGTGCTCTATGGGTGCCCCTGGCCTGGGGCGGCGGCACTCCATGCGGGGCTGCAGGAGAAACACTTGCGGAGAGAGTGTTGCAACAGTCTTACAAAACTCTTCTCAAGCTGGCAGCACATGGCAGCACGAAGGCTGCTGCTGCAGCTGTGAAAGGTACAAGCTGTATTACGACGACGGCTTAAGCGGCCCCTACACGGAGGCGGCCACTGAGTAAAGGTTGGCAGTTTCACAGAATGAAGGTGATGCCTCTGATCAGGTCTACGTGAGCTCGGGGGCCACGTCGCAGTACACGTTCACGGGCCTGACGCCTGCATTGCCATACCGCTTCTACCTGAAGGTGCGCCAGAACACGAAAAAGTCAACAGAGTCTGATTTTCCGCTTTTTCTCGTGCAATGCGAGTGTCACGTGATCTTACGGATCTGCACTTCGTCAGGAGCAGCTTCAGAGAGCCACTCTCCGCTGTCAGGTGGTCTCCGAGGTGGGGGACAGCGATGCATCGCCGGTGCTCACGGCCGTTGCGGGCGCCGCTCCGAGCGGGTCCCGCTGCTCTCTGCTGGTCTTTCTAGCCAGTCCTAGTCTCTCTTCAGAAGCACATGTTTCTCGGGTTCGCGAGCCTCGCACCGCAGCCTCCACGGGTGCCCACAGATGCGGTTGAAGAGGCGAACATGTTCACGGCGCTTGAGCCTTTCGGACCTCACTCGAACTCTGAGCCCCTTAAGTTGTCTATAAGCATCGCACAGCATCCCAAAGCACAGCCGGCGGCCCATGGTGCGGCAAAGCATTCCGATCGATGGTGTCGCTGGCCTTCCGCAACTGGTGCCCTGCGAGAGTTGAAGCATGTGGATGGTGAGTGGATGGACGTGGAATTCGGAGTGTCGTTTTTGGGATTCATGAGTTGGATTTGGCCGGGCCCACCAGGTACCAGGCGCTGGCTAAGGAAGACGCCGCGCAGAGCGAGCGACGGCTTGCGCAGAGGCCGGGCATGCAACAGAGGAACAGGCTTGAAGTTCAGCTACCTTGCAGAAACTCCACATAACTTGCAAGCTTCGACAGATAGATAGGTGGATGGATGTAGATAGTGATGCAGTTCTACAGTTGCAAACTTAAGTCACACATACATGTAGGCAAATAGATGGATCTACATAAACAATACGTATGCATAGATGATGATATACCGGATAGACACTCTTTGTTGGAAGCTTGGCCTGTCAGGGTACGAGCGGCACAGATCTGGACCTGGCTCTTGAGCGTCCGGCGGGTGCTCGGAAAGAGCTCTTTGCCCTGCATGCCTCGCGCTTAGAAGAAGGAATTCAATTAGTGTGGGGTTGGCAGGGTCTTGCAGAATGTGCAAGGGTGTACCTTCTTTTTTGTGGGGTCGGGGCTTCCCATTGCAGGCTTCGGGGCGTTCATTCGGCTTTGCGGTTCCGGAGTTTGGGTAGCAGGGAGGCTTAACTACACACCGCCGAGGCCGTACGATGCTCAGCAGCTGCTTCTCCAGGCCATTCGGAGCGTTGCACAAAAGGCTTGAAACGAGGTGGCTCTTTGATAGATCGCCTCCAGTAAGTAGTTCCCTGTCCAGTTCCTGGCGGGCGACGTCTTGCCGAAGCCGCGGCCTTAGCCGAGATCAATCGGACTTGCGCGACACTCCGTCATGAAATCTTGTGGCCATGCAACAACTAAGTCGCGAATAGTAGATGTCAGTAGAAGGCATGTATATCGTAATCGTTTCCGTAAGGGTATATCTCCCAACAGTGGGAAACTCAAGCAATCTTCAGCCATCTCCTAAGTAGTGCGAAAACAGAGCCCCACAGAAATGTTGCGTCCTGCAAGGGACCCGAACATAAAACCTAAATGTGTCTTGATCCGTATACACGTCCTTTGAAATCCGCAGGCCGGTCTGCGCTGCTAGACTTCGGCGCATCGCCGAGTCCACCCGGCAGGAGTGGCAGCGGGAGTTGCAGCGCTGAACTGGGCTAATTACCTTCACACATGCCTGAGGCCAGGCATACGCAGTATACCTTTAGGTAGGTATGTATGCATATATATATATATATATATAACATATACACTCCCTCTCCCACGTTCTCCCGCAAGACATTTATCACATCATTCTCCACACACACACACACACGCACGCACACACACACATGCATACAGTACATATATATATATACATATATATATATGGGTAATGTTA